TCCCATATATTTTAGGCTCTGAATTTTCCAGATCTTCTTTTGCTGGTCGACTAAATCCTAAATCTGCAATAAAGGATCCAAAGTAAAAATCATGAGATCTTTTTACCTCATCTATTAATATATTTCCGTCGTGTATATCGCGGTGTATTATTTTATTTTCATGAATCCATTTAATTCCAGTAACAATATCCCTAAGAAGGTCTAGTTTCATTTTCCAAGTAATAATTTTAAAATTATTTGATAAATATTCATTTAAACTTCCATGAGACATATAAGTCATAGCAAATATATAATTATTTGTATTCGGATCTTGTGACACTCCATAACAATGAACAAGTTGACGTTTGTCAGAATTAGGCTGGCTTTCAACAATATTTTGTAACTACAAAAAAAACGATAAATTAATAATAATCTATTGATAACTAAATTAGGTTAAATTATTAAATTTATTTGTTTATACCCATACCTCTTTTAAAAATGCAGAATTAATGTTAGAAGAATCTTTAAGAACCTTTAGCACAACTGTCACATTTTCATCCCGTTCAAAATTTATTTTAAAACCCTTTACACCTTTTAGTGTCCCTTTTGTCCATGTAGCAGTATAAACTTCACTAAAACCACCTGTTCCAATTTGCGTTATGTCTACAAAGTCCTTGAATGGGATCCACTCTAATCTATATTTAAGTTGTTTATTATGCGTTGCCTTAATTAAATTGTCAATATCTTGATTTCCGCTATTAAAATTCAAGAATTGTCGTGTATAATAACAATCGGTACATAACTTATTGTTCTCATATTTAAGTTTTACTTTTTTATTACAGTTGTTGCATTTAGTTTGTTTGGAGTTGCAACTAGTGCATAGTTTATTGGGTTTAAGTTTTCGGTTTTCACCACAGCTTGCACATTTTTCTTTATTGTGCTTCATGATTAAATCCAATTTTATCTGGAAACTGAAGAATCGCCACAATATTTAAAGTTTAATATTTTATATATAAAGGCTCTCTATAATTATAGTAAAAAGCTTTTTATACGGTATTTAATTAGAAAACGTTAATGACCTGAGATAGTAATAGCTAAAAGAATAATAACGGAAGTGCACGTACCATAGGATGAGGTAAAAATCAAGCTAATTAAAAATGAAAATCGCATCGCAGTATAGCTGTTTCAAAAAGGTGTGAGCGGTCGCAGATCACTATGTCATGAGATTTCCGGAGTTTTCAAGACCCGCTCTAACCGGGAAGTTTGATTTTTACTAATCTAAATTTCCAAATTCTTCGATTTACACATAGGTCACATAGGTATATGGAAATCGTTGTTCACACATTTTTGAAAACGATTGTAAAGAGCCTTTTTTCATATCCATATCGAATGTGTCATTTTCCAGTATCTATCCCACATGTTTTTGTTTTGTATCACAATCCAAGTTCTAGAATTACTAATATTGGTGTTACGAATCGGAATAAAATAAAGACGAAAAAAGAATACACAGTACTTGGTGACCAAGAATTTCAAATTTCGGAAAAAAAAGTGAACCTTTAGATATAGAATTACAAATTGACTCATCAACTCTATTGCTTGATTATCATAATAACATATGTGGCTTTGTATTACTGTATATTTGGGTATATAGTATTTATTACAGCTGTTTTCATTATTTATTAAGTTTTTTGATGTCGGTCGACGTCAGCTACTTATTGATGCCGACTCGTTAAATTATCGATTTAGTGAAATGAACTATTTAAATCCGGATAATACGGATTATACAAAATCAAATACGGATAATACGGATTACACATGATCAAATCCGTATTTATTCGGATTGATTTGCAATCCGAATAGTTCTACAGGAGCGACCGTCGATGTTACACGACTGACTTTTCACCCGGTGTGCAACATATAAAAAAACTATTTTACAA